AAACTACAAATGGACTGAAATGTTTTAATTTAAGATAAGATAAGAAAACCTTTATTTGTCTCACAATGGAGAAATTCGCAATTTACAGCAGCAAAATTTGGAGGGAAGAAAAAAAAAATCAAGATGATCCCACAATATGTCCAAATGCCAAAATATTCGAGAGCTGCCGCTCTAGTTGATTGTAAAATGCATTTTTCACTCCGATACAAAAAAAAAAAAAAATACCAAATGGCCAGAGTGAAATTGGCTGGCATGACTGAGGTTGAGATGAAAAGAAAAAGCAGAGAGGGCAATCATGCCTCCAGGGAGGCGAGTCCAGTATTTGTTAACTTGACATGTAATTAGACGAACAATTGAGGTGTGCCTTTGTTCCCCAAACCCAAATCAAGTTGAATTAGTTCACATATTGACCGTGTGAGAAGTTAAACATTTCGAGCCAGAAAAGACGGCTGAGACTTGAAAGTGCAGGGCGACTTTGGTGGACACTTTGAACTCACTGGCCACAGCTTTCCAAACTACTGGTGACAAAATGAACTTGAATGTTTTCAGATTCATTTTGGATGGGGGATCTTTTGTACCTAATCGTCCAAAGAATTTAGTCTTCAGTTAATCCCATGTAGGGCGGTCCAGTGGTTAGCACGTCGACGTCACAGTGCAAAAGTGCAGGGTTCGATTCCGGCTCCGGCCTTCTTGTGTGGAGTTTGCATGTTATCCTCGTGCCTGCGTGGGTTTTCTCCGGGTACTCCGGTTTCCTCCCACATTCCAAAAAACATGCATGGCAGGCTGATTGAACACTCAAAATTGTCCCTAGGTGTGACTGTCAGCGCGGATGGTTGTTCGTCCGTGTGTGCGCTGCGATTGTCTGGCAACCCGTTCAGGGTGTACCCCGCTTACTGCCCCGAAGACAGCTGGGATAGGCTCCAGCAACCCCTGCGATTCTTGTCAGAATAAGCGAATCGGAAAATGGATGGATGGATTAAGCTGTCAATTCTTCTTCCATTCCAAGCCATTTACTCCCACGGAAACACACTCATGTGTTGTCCTTCACTTGACTGGTCGTTGCAGTGGAAACGTGGAAACAAAGCGCATACGTTAGTATACGTTAGTGTTTATTTACTCACCCGTGAGTCATTATGCTCACTCATTCTGGCATATTACATTCTCCATTGTGGGCTTTTAAAATGGATAATCCCCCCACCCCCTCACCTCCACCCCTCCACCCGCTTGCCTTCATGCTTTTTTCTTTTTTCTTTTGAGGCCTTCTCCACACCGGGAAAAGTTTGAAACCGACATTGTAATCTCTATAATGTCAAGGCGGAGAAAATGTTCCTCCTCCAGCGAAGAGCATTCACCAGGGTCCAACATCTGCATGCCGGGATGTTTTGGGAAAGCTAATCTTGTGATTTGAAACGGGACCAAAAAAAAAAAAAAAAAAACAATGGCGGTCTAATCCCTCACTTTTTTAAATCCAAGTGTAGTGTAGTGCAGAAAGAGAGATGGAGCTATTTCATGCCTCGCCGCTTCCACTGTTTTTTATGAACCGCCACACCCTCGGTGTCCCCCTCTTCGGGATTTATAAAGCCTGTTTGCAATAGTCAGACACCTTTTAGAAGGACGAAGCTACTTTTCATAATTAGGTCCGTGTGTGTGCGTGTGCGCGCGTGTGTGCGGTTGCCTTCTCTCGCTCGAGTGGCAGTAATTTAACTTGAGCGAAGATAAGACGTGGCATCTCCGGGAGAAGGTGCAATTTCCTCACCTGTCTTTCCTGTTATTCATTTGACAATTGGCAAACATCACCGGCACACTGGATCTAATTTGTTCCTCCGCACGGTCACACGAGCGGACCGAATTTTTAATGATTGTACAGTACGTGCCGCGCTGTCTGCTTACTGCGTTCTGTCCTCCCCCCCAAAAAAGAACTCGTTTAATGTCTTAGTTACGCATCCGACAAGTTTCTGTGAAAGTTTTTTGGCTCATCTCAAAGTTGCACTGTTTTTTTTTTCCGTGCAGCTTTTCTGTATTTATCTTCTGTTGATATCTGACAAGGATTTTTGGGGGGCTGTTTTTTGTTTGTTGTTGTTTTGTTTTGTTACTGAGTCCTAAAACAATCTAATAAATAAATAAATAAATAATTTTATACAAATATCTGGAAAGACCTCATCAAGGCGCGTGAGGTGTGAAATATTTTGGGCGTATCGAGGAATAGCCCATATCGTTTTGAAGCTACAAAATCACATGTTTTGGTTGCTGGATGTGACTTAATTAGATCCGTGCGATATAGTTCAAAATTTATATCTCTAAATTTTTTTTTTTTTTTTTTTTTACTGTTATTGCAATTATGAGACGTTAACGAGATTACGATGGATGCAGTGAAAATTGCACCAATTTTTTATTTTTTTTTTACAAAAGAAAAAACTAAATATCAATCCAATAGAATGCGGAGAGTTCTTTTTTAGTTCTTAAAGACAACCATCAACCTGAACAAAGTTAGCAATAAATCATTTTCTTGGTCAATGTGTCATCACAGGAAAATGAGAAAATATGTGAGCTTTCATGTGAAGTGTGACTCAACGCGGTACATTGAAAATACAACTTTGACTTGACAGAACAGTGAATGGCGACATTTAAAAGCAAAACGTACAAGTTTGTTGGCCACTGGGTCATCATAGTTGTCATCTTACAGATTTGTAAAGCTCACACCCAGGCCTTCAATTTAAGCTGTGACTCGTTGTTTGTGGAAAAAAAAAAAAAAAACCTTTGACCTCATCAGAATAACTGGTGATAACACAAAAACACATTTCTTTCTTTCTTTATCTATTTATTTATTTATTTAGTCCACTGCATCGACACACAGGTATACTGACGATATAAGAAAACCTGCATTACGTCCATCGATTAGACATCTGGCTCAAATAAAAATAATTTATTGACCTTGTGATATTTTCAACCAAAAATTATTTGGTGATTGTGATTCATTGATATGTAGTATTGGTCCTTGTCAGGAGTGAACTCTGACCTTGGGGTATTGCCTTGAAAATCACGATCAAAATTAATCCAATTAAAAGTCCAAACTTAATTGCCAGTTTGGAGATTTTTGACTTGGTTGTAAACCCTGACATTTGATCTTGTCATTGAGGATTTGACTTGTAAAAAGATAAGAGCCTCAAAGTTCAATAAGGCAGGTTTCAATTGAAAGAGAAAGACACGCAGCCCAAAATTCGAGTCTTCATCTTGGCTTTATTGTTTATCCACTTTTATGATCACAGGCGTTGTGAAAAGCGAACAGAGGTGAATTAGTGAGAATGTACACAAACTTTTTTTTTTAATGTTGTTTTATTTTTGTGTGTGTGTGTGCTTATGACTCAAACAACAGCTCGTTTGTCTGCAATTTAATCTCCGCGGGAGGCGTAACAGGCGGCGGCAAGTATAAATCTTTGAGACCGTGATTTAGTGGCTCGCCCGTGTCTCAGATGACCACCCTCTCGTTGTGAAATTATAGGCTCAAGACAACGACAATGGCTCTCGGTAGCCACAAAAAGCTGTCTCTTTGTTTTTTTGGTTTTGTTTTTATATATCCTATTCTAGACCCTGGATTGGTCACCTGACATTTCACAGCACAGACATCTGACTGTTTTGCAGGTTTTTTGTGTTATCCTACCACATCATGTGCATCATTTTTGTTTTCATGTTACTGGAAGCGTTCAGTTGCTGTGTCGATGGCCAAAAACAATCTGCCACTTTGTTCTGCGACATGGGAGCGCTTGGCGTTTGCAGCCAGCCCACCTTTCAAACATCTTTCACAGGAACCATTTCCATTCCTGTCTAATACTTTCAGCCAGCTTGTCTCTGTGGGGTTTTTTTTTCTTCCTCTCACTCCTGCACGGAGACCTACGAGGGCACCGCTCTCCACAAGTGAACCTAAATGAGTTTAATTTCACTAATAACTCCTTAATAGTCTGTTTTTCAATAGCCTAATTGAATGGTGACGATCCTATTTGGAAATTTTCCCCAGAGACTCCCGCTACATTGTGGGTGTGAAGGTTGCATTTCAAAGCTGTCTGAATAGCATTTTCGCACTCGCATTATTTATTCAGCCGAGTCAACATGTGCGCTCAAAGTCGACAGTTATTAAAAATCACAGCCAAAAACAAGTGCAATATGGCTTCCAGTTGACTAATTACCTCTTCTGCAGCGCGTCTATAAATACTACCTGCAGCCATCAGGTTAGCTGAAAGCTAGCAGGAGACGGCTAATCAACGCAGACTGCTCAGTAAAGCTTAAGCTCGTCATCAGGAGTCTCAAGTTGGGGCCGCGTCAGGTGTTGTTTACGTGCAGATTTGCCACATCAAATATGGCGGATGCGCTGCTGTATGACCGCAGCAAGTCCACTCTCACACAAGGCTGTGTTAACGTATACATTTCTAAGCCAAAACATTCACAATGTCATCGTTTTTTAATGATCCCAAACCAGTCTACTCTGTATTGTCACAAAATTGTCATCTCAACACATAACTGACATGAAGCACAGTTCATGTTTGATCAGTTCTCTGTTAGCAAAAAGGTGACGTTAAGCTAGCCCACCTGTGTTTGTGGATTTCATGACAGATCAAGTTAGAGTTGATGTGGTACTTTTTTGTGTTTCTTGACTTCATTCTCTTTTTCCCAGTTTTATTAAAAATATCATTCTTGTTATATACAGTAATACCAATAATGTTGGGTGCTCGTATATAAAATGGCAGCTTTTCAACTATGAACTAAATGACGACATGTCGTTCAAGTTGAAGTCAAATTGAGTTTCTTTCATTTAATGTCAAGTTGAATCCTTCATAAATTTTCGTAAGACATTTTATGCAAGTTTTAAGTTGGTTGTTCAGTGATGTCATGTGACATGATTCCCCCACCTCTGCTGCATGCTCTCAGATGCTCTAATTAAAATACATTTAACACAAAAAACTCTACAAATGTACAATGCTTATTGATGGTACGCCTTATCTTTGCAGGTACCCCGGTGACCCGAGTGACTGCCACCGATGCCGACGACCCGGTATACGGCAACAGCGCCAAGCTGGTCTACAGCATCCTGGAGGGGCAACCCTACTTTTCTGTGGATCCCAATTCAGGTGAATTTTCTTGTCCCTGTTCAAGATCACTCACACGCTGCACACACACTGCTAATGTTACGGTAAAAAAACGGAGGTCCTGAATTCCACTGCACTGATTCAGATCTTTTAGTGAAGTAAAAAAAATGATTAGAAATAAAACAAATACATCACAGACTGAAATGTATTTAAGTTAACTTTGTAAATAAATAAATGGATGCTCTGAAAATGGGTTTCATACCTTCCATAGTGCCCAAAGTAAGAGGGCACAAAAATCATGGTACATGTCGCGTGTTGTTTCATAGCTGGTTACCTTTTATGCCATCACAACGTGTTCCCCGAGCTTTGTTGAGAGCCGATTTACAAAAAGTACCGAATTAGTTGATGACAACTACTCGTATTTATACAAACATCGCAAAAAGTCAAAGGTGCTCGCTTGTGCTAAATGCTAACTAGCATCGAGGCCAATAAAAGGCCCATTTTTGTGCACTTCGCCATTGTTTGGTCGCCGATCTGATCTCTGCAAGATGGCTCATTAAATTTAATCGCGGCTGTTAATATGGCGCGCCAATCCTTTTCACGGCTTCCGAGGCGACACGGTGTCGGACAAAGCGGTGAGTGAATGAATGCCGCCACGCCCATAACGGGCCACAATGAGAGCGAGATAGGCTTCAACGGGAGGTGAAGATAACATCTTATTGGATTATTTCAATGGGCCAGGAACTCTTTTCGTATTTAAACATTGTTCCTTTTCATTAGCCGCCGACTTTCAGATAAACCGGCTCACAATGTTAGCTGAGGTCAAGTGTGGAGGTATAAATTCTGTTTTATATTTCGTGTGAGAGCAGAAGGTCCTCTCATAATCACGGTTTATTACTATTATTCTGAGGAATTAATCCTCTTTTTCGGGGCTTCATCATGCCCGAATAGTCATCCGTTTTGGCCAGCGCGCGTATCCCGGTGAAACTGGAAATTCGTATAATTCCATCCCCCAACGCCAGTTTCACTGAGCCACAGGAAGTTGCTTTGGGCATGTTCATCGTGACAAAAGTCTCAAGGATCCATGCCACAAGTTTAACAGGAAATGGTCCATGTTGATTTCAAGCTGCCATTTTGAGCAGATGCCAGGGCTAAAACCTTGACGAGCCCCTTTATGGTAATCATTTCAAGTGAACCCAAATCGGAAGCAGATAGGCGAACACTCCAACTTCAAGTCCGTGTACGACTGTGTGCTGAAGGTTTGCAAGCGTTAGCCAGGGTCGCGGATTTTGAGTTTTCATCAGGGTTCGTTAAAGCTCGTCGGCAGTTTTAATTGTTGGCTGACCCAACTGCGTTAAGCGCTGATATGGTTTGAAAAAAGTGAGTTGGAGGCATGACGTTACGTTACTATATAAGTACACTCCATGTGACATTTATTGTTGTGATCAAATTAAATTTTTCATTTTTTCGGAATATGGCGATTTCAGCAAAAGCACAATTCATCCCACGTTTGAGTTGATCCAGGACTCGCTGCCTCTACGGGAAACGAATAGTGAACCGAGATTCGGGGTGAAAGTCCGAGGTCCGCTGTTGATAATTGGCTTCCTCGCAGCCTGATTCTGACAGCAAAGCTTTGACTAAAAACCTGAAAAGGGTAATTAGGTTGAGTAAGGAAGAAACATGCGGCGGCCGTGTCAGTGGCCTGAGATGATTTTTAATGAAGCGGCGTTGGCGATCTTCGCCGGGGCTCTTTCGCCCGTGCTTCAAAAGTTAATGACAGCACAAATGGAAAGTATTATCAGCTTGCCGCACATGTGATTGCAAGCCGTATAATGGCCGCCGCCAGTGAATAGACGAGGATAAAAGGCGGGCGGCCCCGATATCAGCGGGACACATCGGTGCTTTTCTCCGTCCTTGTTTGTGAAGGGATTTAGCCAGGTCAAGCGATCATCTGTGATATATTGCGTGCTTGGACAATGAGCAGCATCAAAGCCCTTATTAAATCTACATAATTGCGAGATTCGTAAGCAAGAGCCTATCTGCCGACTGCCCGTCTTTAATGCAACACGGTCGCATGGTTATGAATGCATATTGATGAGAACGGTAATAATAATGACGTGCCCGTGCGCTCCCGCCACGTGAGGCAGAATGAGCACGGGCATCGAATTATTTCCAAACACATTCCGGCTTCTTGGATCTGTGACCGTCCTGTATGTCGTCCGTGCCGCAAAAATGTCTTTTCTCTTATTTTACTTTTTTTTTTTTTTTTTTTTTTTTTGTTTTTTTTTTTTTTTTTTTTTTTTTTTTTTGTTCCAGAGGCTTCTACTTGCTTTTCTGGACGACTTTCTAATACGTGTCTACAAAGTATAAAGGACAGGATTACATGAATTACATTAATAACACATGAGACGGGAATCGGTGGCGTCGTAAACAAGTCGGGGGGCGAAAAATAGGAAATGAGAGAGAGAAAGAGAGAAGGCGAGGAACGAGAATATTTATGTGCATAATTACACTCGGTCCAAAGCGGAGCCGGCCTTGTGCTCGCCACCGCCACGGTCTCGCCACACCTGCAGTTGGAAAACGATTGTCCATAATAGCACGCGGCATTAGCATTCCGCGCTAGCGGCGCGCATGCAGATGGCCCGTTCACGTACGGCAGATGTTTTAACGAATGTTAATGGAAAAAAAAAAAACAACAACAAAACGGTAAGCAATGATTAAGGAGTGTTTGACACTTAGAAATGAAAAGCTGCGGATGAATAAATCAATAAATAAACATTGCGGCCCACTTTATCACTCAGCTTGGTGGGTGGTGGGGGTGGAGGGAGTTCATCTATGGAAATGAGTGTTTGTCTATCTTCCCATTTTTGAGTGATTAGGAATTAATTTGAATAATTAACCGTGATCAACTTCAGAGATGAGGAGCGCGCCAATGACTGAAGTGCGTTTGTCTTATTTTTGGATTTGTTTGTTGCTCGTTGCCTGAGTTGGCCTACCTTCAAATCAGATGCTTGCCACACACACACACACACACACACACACACACACACACACACACACACACACACACACACACACACACACACACACACACACACGCTGAACTTTCCTCGGGCGGAACAAGGAGTTAACGGTACTTTGGAATATTTGAGCAGATATAAAGAGAATATAATGGCTTCGAATGTAATATTTATGGAATATTTAAGTCTTCCCCCTATACACTTTTTGTCCTTCAGACCTCTCCTGCTGCATCACATGTACAGTAGATGGTGCACCTCGTAGCTTATATCTGCACCGTTTGAAATGTGTGTGTGTGTGTGTGTGTGTGTGTGTGTGTGTGTGTGTGTGTGTGTGTGTGTGTGTGTCAATGTGTTTTTGAAACATATTGACATGAAGTGTGTGATGGGATGAACATTTAAACAGTTTTGGGGGGGAATTGAGTGTGCGTACGTGTGTATGTGTGTGTTTGTGTAGTCAAAGGTTAACTTTGTGTGGCAATTATTTCATGTTAACCTTTATGTGCAGATGTGAACGATACACAGAAATTGACAGAAGAACTGCCAGGACAGATGTTTTGAGTTGCGTTTGGTCGTGCAGATGCTTAAATGTATGTGAATGAAAAAAACAGGTGTGTGTAATATTTGTTAATTCACAAACCGCCATGAACTTTATATGTAAATTGGTCAATTAAAAAAGTTAATCAACAAATTGTGAGTCCATACCAGACGTCCGCAGAGATATTTGAGTAGAAGGGATCCTCATCAGCTCATTCTGCATTTACCCATATACATTGTCTGTGGCCATACCGGTCAAGCAGAGTGACAATGCTCTAGTCCCGGATCGCGTCATCCTTTTTCCGCATGGAGACGGCGCCATGTGAGATTTGAGTGTACCAGATGTAAGGCGAAGGAGAGGAGTCACTTTGATTGGCTTTGAATAGAGTCGACTGTGTTCACACCCACAGTGGTGCAAGCAGCCCATTTTTACATGTCCCTGCTTTCACTTTTGTGTTAAATGAACATGGAGACTTTGGTATTGAATGGAGTGCATTTGAACGGACAGACTAATAATAATGATAATAGGGCGGCACGCTGGGCAACTGGTTCGCACCTCCGCCTCACAGCGCAGACGTGCAGGGTTCGATTCCGGCTTCGACTTTCCTATGTGGAGTTTGCATGTTCTCACTGTGCCTGCGTGGGTTTTCTCTGGGTTCTCCGGTTTCCTGCCACATTTCAAAAACATGCAAGGCAGGCTCATGGAACTCTCTCAAATTGTCCCGAGGTGTGATTGTGAGTGCGACAAGCAAGACAACCATTGTCTATTTGTGCCCTGCGATTGGCTGGCAACCAGTTCAGGGTGTACCCCTCCTACCACCCGAAGACAGTACACCCATGACCCTGGTGAGGAGCTGATTGCAAAATGGATGGATGGATGGGCAATGATGATGATGATGATGATGATGATGATGATGATGAAATGTAAAGATTTTGCCAGTCTTTTTTTCATTTTTGGTGTTACAGTTAAAGCCAAGGGAAAGGACATCAGTACATTCTCAAAGACAGGATACTGTGGAACATGATGAAAGTCGAGGCTAAGCTCGGCTGACTAAAACAGCGTCGAAGGCAGTGGGAGTTTGTTGTTTTATTCCTGCTTGCAGCCATGAGTCAAGGATCCGCATTCCTGCAGCGAGTCAACACTGTTTTCGAGAAAATCAACATCTAATGGCCAGTACAAAAAGGTTTATTTTCACAACGTATTTACATTTTTCATCAATATTAACAGAAAATAGAATCTTCAGATCGACAGCGGAAGTATGGTTGGATAAACAGTCAAAGTCACGAGACGTGAGGGTTGACAGACAGACTTAGAATTTGTGTTTGTGTGTCTATGATTGGAAAAAAAAGGTAATTATTTCAAACTGACAGCATAGAAAATGTACAAACATGAATTAATTACAGGCGGCATGGTGGTCAACAGTTTAGCACATCCGCCTCACAGTACAGAGGTGCCGGGTTCGATTCTGGGCCCCAGCCTTCCTGTGTGTGTTTAATTTGCATGTCTCCCCGCCCATGGCCGCATGGCTTTTCTCGGGCTATTCCGGTTTCCTCCCAAATTGTCCCTTAGTGTGATTGTGAGCGCGCATGGCTGTTCATTTATGTATGCCCTACGATTGGCTGGCAACCAGTTGAGGGCGTCCCCCGCCCACTGCCTGAAGACAGCTGAGGTTTTTGACACGTTAAAAATACATTACCAATTAATTTGATGACGGATTAGTTGCGAATGCTTGCAGCTCTCGTTTCCAATGTATGTGGACAGACAGACATATTGTGTGCACATGAATGGGCCATCGGTTATCACCAATATTTGTGTTTGTGAAGGGACGGGATGATCATGGCATTATTTGTGCATACCAAAAGGAAAAGCATGATGTTGACATTATGCATGTTAAATAGACACGTGTTAACAGTATATGTGCATTGACATTCAGATATTTACTTTAGGTGTGTATGTGAATGGAAAGCGATTCGAATTATGTGTCCACTTAAAGCCTCCAGCTTAAAGCGAGGAGTGTATTGACATTGACAGACATATTTACATCACGTGTATACGTGAATGGGATGAACAGACATGTTGTTTACATGATGCGTGTACGTGGTTGCATTCTACACACGCGCTTCATCTTGAAGTGACAAGTGCCATTTAATAGGACAAGAATATCAGACGATGAAGGGACAGAACGGTTTGTCGCTCGCTTGCTGCCGGGGTTGGTTGTCAAGGAAGTTGCTTGCCTGTTCATAAAGCGCAACATTTATTGTTGTTGTTCCGTCTTCCAAGAGCCGCTGGATTAACTCACAGCTCGGCACGTAATTAGATTTTGTCTATTATGTCATCTGCGCTGCGGGGTTGTGAGGTGGTTGAGGTGGCTGGTGAGATATGGCTGAGCTGAAACATCGGCGGTGTACATTTTTTTTATTTTTTACTTAAGCGCCGCTGCCTGTGATAAGAGGTGAGGGACTCGAGGTGCATGACTTCACTCAGGTCAGATTCACGTCACCAGTTTCAGGACTTTGGGCTTGCTTTGCTAAAACTCATAAAAGATTCAACCTGACCTTGACTGGGTACTCATGAGACTCAACTTGATTTGACTGGAATGATGTGACGTAGCAAATCTTGGACATTTGTATTTAAAACCCTTCGTTTTCAACATTGTCCCATTTTTGAATTTTTGAATTTTTTTTTTGGTCTCTGTGTAGCGTGCACAAACCTGGCAGCCCACCAGAGTGCTATGAAACCACCTCATGAAGCAAGTATCATGGAGGGAGCTACATAGATGAGTAAATTGAGTTTCAAGGATTATATTTTTGATAAAATAGGGATAAAGAAGTGACAACATGCAAGGTGTGTAACGCAAAGACAGGAGACTACAATTATGACATCGAAATTCAGCTGTCACGATAAAATACAGAACGACGGGTAGGCTAAATTTCACAGTGTAGCTAACGGATAGCCGGTCTAGCATTTACTAAGCCATGAAATTGATTTGGAGCCATGAAAAAAAAAAATAACATCGTAAATGTGTTCTTACAGCTGTTTTTATAAACCTGATTTTACCTGTTCAGCTGCTTCACCGTGCCGATTGTTGGATCTCTTTGCCTTTTTATGCCGAAGAAGCTTTTGTGTGCAACGTGGGAGTTTGATCTACTCCATCTGTGGTTGTTTATGTTGTGATATTTATTGAAAATGCAGTAGGAAAGTGTAACATCCGTAAGGAGGCAGAAAAAAAGAGAACATGGTAAACAGGAAAAAAAAATGCAGTTCATTAGCAGCACACTATGACTACTATAACAATAATTTTCTTTGCGTTAACTCTGCCTGCCGGTTTAAACTAATTTCTGGGTGTGAAATCCAAAAGTGATCTCCGTTTTTGAGCTACAGGATACAATTTTTTTTTCAAACATATTGACTCAATGTGTATGGATGATAATAAAACACTGTGATGGAATAGTTACAAGCTTTAGATACTAAAAGAAAAAAAAAACGCATAAAATGAAATTGAATTTACAAGATATGCCCATGGTTTCAAATTTAAGAAAAAAAGACAGCATTTCTCCTCTTAATTTCTACCACGCTAGCTATCTGTTAACAGATTTTGATAAATGTGACCTATTGGGAGCTGCACGCACCTCTCACCGTCTTGTCTCAATTGTGACTGCACAAACAAATTGCCACGGAGCCGTAATCAACTCTTCTTACTTCAGCTGGGATTATTTTCATCTGGAGGGTAAAATGTGGAGAAAAAGCTTTATTTGCGAGAAAAAAAAAATATATATTTAAAAGACTCAAGTTGTTCCCCAGTGTAATGTTATACAGGTTCTGATCTGTAAGAAAGTAACATGAGTAGGTGTGTCTGTGGAGATTATATGGTAAATAAACGCCAATACGCATGCATGGTCGACATCGGGTGTCCAGTGTTGGCCTTGTGACCACACTGTGAGGACCCTATTGACAAGACACAACTGATAGCCAGGCCCCCAGGGTGGTCTGCTAGCCGCACCGAAATACCTTGACAGCAACCAGAAGGGTGAAAGATATTGACTGCATAAGGGCTAAATGTCTGAATACATTCCGTTACTTAGCAAGATTGTACAACTTGCTTATGACTTTCTTAACCTAGTGATTATGACTCTACTGGCTTGAAATTTAGCGCTGATTCAACCTGACTTGATTTTTTTTTTTTTTCCAAAGCAACTTCCTTGAAACTTCAAGGTTAAGACTCGCACAAATGCGATTTACTCGCATCTCATTCTGTGACCTCCAAAAGGAAATCTGACCCCCACTGGTGCTCCATTTCTGCGGACAGCAAGCCGCCAGAATAGAAAATGCAAGCCTCACCCTCAATGTCGTTTTTTTTTTTTTTGGCCCATTCTCATTTTGTGGTGCCTGGAACGGAGAGCTTTAGGGGGGTGTCATGCCAAAAAGGCATCCATTTTATATTCATTTGATGATCCTGCGGGTGTCTGTTTCTCTGAGTGGATTATCCAGATATGCCGTCGTTGAGCCCCTTTTTATATTCCACGGTTGTGGCGCAGTCAATAAAGTCCATTTCGCATACAGTATCCCAGATTATACACGACAGACAGCATCATTTGCACTCAATCCGAATACAAATAGTGGCAGACTGCGGAAAACAAGTAATGTACGTATTTTTCTCTACGCTAAGCTAAGCAAAAAAAAAAAAAATACATGTACCTCCAGGGAATTCTTAACCTCCACGCTTTGCGACAAGTCGTGGTCCTGAAAAATAATGCACGTCAACAAATTGTCAAGTAAGGTGGCTATGAAGGTTAGAGCATTTTGGCAGCATTCTCGCATATGTAGCAACAAACACTTGTGATTGTAATTGGTCATGACTTTTTTTTTTTCTGTCCCGCACCCCCCAGCCGCCATTTTGTGTTTGGGCAGACAGAACCTTCCGTTGGCTCTGGATATGAACAGACACAACATGTTCATGTTGCAATCGTTACCTTGACAAAGTAATCTATTTACTGGTTCAAAAAGTAACTTACCTAACTGATTACTTTACTTTTATAATAACTACGTTGTATTACGGGTCACTTTATTCGTTACATTCAGCAGCCGCGTAAGGCACAACATACATGTTATCAGTGGACACAATAACACATTACGAGATTTTAAACATTAAATCATAGCGTCGCTTAGCATGCTAACTTAAGCATGCTAATTTAGCTAACTTAGCACGCTAACTTAGCACGCTAACTTAGCACCCTAATTTAGCACGCTAACTTAGCACGCTAACTTAGCATGCTAACTTAGCATTCTAGCTTAGCCATTAGTAGGTCTGACACAGACATAACGTCGCTAACTTTACAATTCTACAGTCAAACATGAACTTAATTCTCAGAACACGCATTCTGGGAGAAGATAAAGAAGAGACAAACATTAGCAGCATGTGTGTGTACAAATGGACGGACGTATGTTTATGTTATGTGTTGATTTATATCGCTGATGATTTTTCCAGCCACCATCAAAATTGCTCTCCACGGAATGGATCGAGAGATGCGAGAGGAGTACCTGGTGGTCATCCAGGCCAAGGACATGGGCGGTCACATGGGAGGCTTGTCGGGGACCACCACCGTCACCATCACGCTCACCGACATCAACGACAACCCGCCCAAGTTCTCGAAAAGTGAGTCTCCCATCAAGTGAAATCCCAGTTCCCAATTGGCATTTAATACCTTCCGTTGTGGTTTTTGCATTTTGAAAGATTTGTATGAGTTTGCCATCCCCGAAAACCTGCCTATTGGGCAGATGGGAGGCAAGGTAAAGGCCAACGACCGGGACGTCGGTGACAATGCCAAGTCCACGTACAACATCATCGAGGGTGACGAGCAAGGTGTGTTTGAGATCGTCACAGACCCGCAGACGCAAGAAGGGATTCTGCGACTCAAAAAGGTAAGTTCCAGCCCAATGTGCTTGCCGTCTAAATGGGTTGCTGCAAAAATTACTACACAATGTAAAAAAACTGTTTTAAAAAAAGATGGCCATGGAAAGTTAAGATACATCCAGCTGGAAAAGTCCTCCATTATTCCCCTGGCTTCGTAACACAAGCACAATTGAAATTCGGTGGATGTCATGTCACAAGTTTCCAAGAATGGACTTGAACAGAACGTCTGCCATTTTGGTTTAAAATAGCCATTTACGTTGGAAAGCTGTTCGTTGTAAGCAAAATCGGCAAATGGAAAATGAATTACGTAAAATCGGGACTTTGAACGTAATCGGAGTAGAAACTGTATAAACGAGATACGTCAAAAAGAGGTTCAACTGTGCTAGTTTATGTCACAGAGCGTTTTATATGAGTCACACTTGCTTAAGGTAGGTTGAGAGCAGTGCTGAAGGCTGAAAAATGTAGACCGAACAAAGCCCCTTACCTCCCCACAAATGTTTGACGATCATATCAAGGATTCGCCGTGAAAAAACCTGTTCATTGCTGCTTGCAGCTTTACATTCCTTCATTCCACAAGTTTCATTATATTTGTTGTGAGGTGAATCCACATTATCCCAAGGATATGTGCTGCCATTTAGTTATGAGTGTGAACAATGTTGAGCGCAACGTGTAGGAGGTGTGCAGTGCGCAAGAACTCAGGCAATCCGCCGGGACAACAAATAACATCAGTCAAAAAAACGCCAACTGTTGACAAAGCAAATGTCACAAGTATGTTTGTCTTTTTTTTTTTTCTGAGGCAACTCGCACTTCCTGTCTGAGTGGGCGTTTTCAGAAGACACGGTTGTCTTGTTTGTCGGGTCTTTTATAAAGCCAAATAGGAAACTTCTGCTCCAAGCTTCAGACTCCATCCTACACTGCGATATAACTCGAAACCTGACAGCTTTTAGACGTCGTGAAGCATCATGGTGCTTGTTGTCCGGATAAGTCATGTTTGTGGCCTGAGTAACATGCAAACAATTGTATGTTTGTGATCACGTGGTGGCTCATCTCCAGCATAACGGTGAGAACAGCTGCCGCGGTAGTCGGAAGACCTTGCGTGTGGGCGGACAATGTGGAATTTTGAAAATGCAGGCTCCGTTGCCTGTGGTAGGTAAGTTTAGTTGTCTACAATGGGAGGAAAAAGTATACAAACCCTTTGGAAGAGCTTACAGTTCGAGATGAGTTGCGGAGATTTTCATTATACTGCAGTTATTTTTTATCATATTTTTGTCATTATCCGGTTTGGGACCAACAGGTGGCACTGTAGGGCTCTCCCTGCAGCTGCACACCTGTTGGTCATTATGTAATTAGTGCTTTAAAAGGACTCCCAGCCCGAACACTCAGTGTCGGGTCATTGTTTGCTCTTGGCTACTGTCATGTTTGTTTGTTGCCGTTTGTCTGCTGCTGTCAGGTTTGTTTCGGTCATGTTTTGGTCACGGTTCTGTTTTAGCTTCAGTTGTCATTTTTGTTTGCTACTTTGGACTATGCTTGTTTTGGATTTAGTTTTCTCTGTTTCAATACACTTCTTCAAGTGCAACCTGCTCCTCCCTCCTGCCTGCTTTTTGGGGTCCACCACCACCTCGCAAATGTGACAATTTTGATTATTTTTTTAATGTAATTAGTTTTATAATCGGCTTTGTTAGTTTTTATTTGTTTTTTTCCCCAAAATTCTCCATTTTAATGTGGTTTTTACAAAGTTTTAGTTTTTAAAAAATGTGAATTTTTTTTGTTTGTAAGAGTAAGAAAAAAAATTGTCAATATGGTGTCGTCAAAATTCAACAAAAATATGATCTCAAAAACATTTTAAAAACAACCATCTACAAATCAAATTCGAGTACTCTGTAATAGTCTGCAAACTATGAATCGCAAATAAGTGCCATGCTTAAAGCTGTTACTACAGTTTGATGCATCACAGCGTCTAAACTAGATCGATCTCACTTTGCATCACTTTTTGACAAGTTGCCAACTTCGAAGGCTTAAATCCTCATTGAGGCATATTCAACCCTGTTGTTAATTGTTTTATATTATTTCATATACTAGGCAAAAAAAAGAAGACTTGTTATCTATCGAAACGTCACGTTTCCAGCTGAGTGCGACGGCCATTCCGAGCGCTGCTATCGCCGAGGAGCACCGTCATCTGGCGGTGCTTATTTACCAGTTGCCGCCAGATGACGTAGCATCTACGCAGTAAGGACGAACAAATCGTAAACGTCTCTTCCACCTTCTTTCTTCCGGCTAGCGGCTGTGCTGTTATACCGAAATAAATTTAAGATCAACCCCAAGGCTCATGTATCTGATTATTTGCCAAAAACGAAAATAAAGGACATTTTTCCCATAATTACTTAGTTTTGGTTTGTTATATAAACTTAAAATGTAGTTTCACCATTTTCGTAAAACACGTTTTTTTCATTCGTTTTCATGAACAAAGTATTGAGATAAGTTGCTCATAAAATGTGTTCTGATCTTTATCAGAATCACGAGAATAAACAAACTTGCCTAAATCGTTGCCGGAAAATTATATACTTTCACATTTATATTGCCTGAAAAGACGCAGGATCGATCTGACTTTTAAAGGCACCATATTAGAGTCCTTACAATCAACTTGTCTGAGTGCTACTAAATGGCACCAAATGTGCTCAACAGACGGGCGGTGGTAAAATGCTGTCAAACGAGTCCCCTTAGTCAGTTTCAGCCATGTGTCACAGGCGTGACACCCCAAATTTAGCTCAGTTTTAAAGCTCACCATAAAAAAAAAAATAATAAAAAAAAAAGACATTTTGTCAAACGCCACAAGGTCCGAGCTTGACCAAATGTCTTGCACCGTATATTGAGCACGGTGCTACACAATGCGATGATCCGCCCACCAGGATTAAATCCTTTTGTCTCAACTTGTTCATGGTCTCCGTCCACATTGGAACATATCACGCTCCTCTGCAGCGTGAACGCCCTCGGGGGAGGAAAGGGATGACACTGATGCGAGGGGAAGTCGGCTTCTCCGTGAGCGCACTTCTGCTGGTCCAATGAAGGAGCACGACGATAGAGCAAAAAGGCTCCTGCTGACACATCCCATCCACAGTCTTTAAAGTGCCTTCTGGCGCTCGTTAAAACCCCCTTTTTGCTGCGAGGTTACCATTCATCGATCAAACTTTTGGGGGTTGGAGGAGGTCTTCGGCCAACTGGTTTGAAGTAGAGTGGTGATTTTGAGAGGGTTATTTGCTTTTTGAGGCTTTCCAAAAAAAAAAAATCATTTTTATCGGTCCGCCCTCAGGCCCATCGAGGGATTTTAGTAGGATGCTGGGCTTTCACCCCATGCAGCCTGCGCGGAACTTTGAAGTCTCTCCATTCTTTGCCAGTCCATCCAGATGTGATCCCCCGACTGGAAGGGACGCAGCAGGGCTGGATGTGGGAGTTAGACAATACAAAAAAAAAAAAAAAGAAGAAGCCGAAATTCACCTGCTGTTCCATTTTGAGTGAACACATGTTGACTCTTTTAGTTCAAAACTGAGGATAAACAAACACAATGTTACTTCTGGTCTCAAAACACACTACAGACTCTTTCTCAGGAATCTACTCATTTATTTTATATGCCACTTTATATACCAAGTGCTACACTATTTACTCCGTTAAAATGACTTCACTCGTTCAGTACCAGCCATGTTCAGACCCGTTTAATGTTTTTTTTTTTTTTTAACCTTAAGTATTGAAAAAAAAGCTAGGAAAAAAAATGATATTTATATAAATGACATCACAGAGCCAACCGGCTCCGGTAACGACTGTCACGGCTCACCTGTTTGCTGGGTTTGGTCATGTGACATTCGTAATCCGAGCCCATAGGCAAGCAGGATTTTACTTTGGAATTTTATCCATGAGGTTCATTTGGTTCCAAATCTTGTGCAACTCCAACACGGTGCCAGGCTGCAACACTTTTGGAGCTTTTAGTATATTTAGCTTCTGGTTGCGACATTTATTATAATACATAACTCATGCAATGAGATCCTCTCGGTTGTCCGTTAGCTGACACTTTTTTGCATTTTGTTGAGAGTAAGTCAATATAACTACTCTATAACTCTGGTGTGTGCGTGTGTGTGCGTGTGTGATGGTATTGGAATTTACTGCTGAGTACTTTAATGCCTCCACTCGACAGTAGTGAAGGTCAAAACCCACAAGAAACCATGCTCATGCTGTCCTTGAGATCCCCTGCTTTAAAAACACAAAACATGATGTGCACTCACTGGTTGGAACAGAGGCTATCACACTTTTATCGCTTAGAGTGGGTTTTATTTTTGCAATAACAAACGACAACAACAGCACCTGTTGCAACCTGAGGGGCATTCCAGCAAGTAGGTTACATGAAAACTCCGGGGAGGTTGACCCTGACATGGTGGAAAGTCGGATTGGTCCATTTCAAAGAGCCTAAAAGTGTCATTGGGACTCAGTCACCGTGGTAACAGATGCTGTGGACCAAATTCTGCGAAAATCTGACTTTCTAGCAATCTCCTCCCACCTGAAAAAAACAGGGCTTGTCCCTTCCATCGATATTTAGGTACCTGAACTGGTACACAGAGGCGAACAACCATCCGCGCTCACACTTAACCCTAGGGACAATTGAGAGTGTTACATTAACCGACCACGCATGTTTTTGGAGTGTGGGAGGAAACTGGAGTACCCAGAGAAAACCCATGCAGGCAGCGGGTGAACGATGCAAATTCCACACAGGAAGGCTGGAGCCGGAATCGAACCCTGCACCTCTGCACTGTGAGGCTGACACGCTAATCAGTCGACCACCGGGCCGCCCATACAGTAAATAATGATGCATTCTATTGAATGCTATTTTAATTCACAAGAGCCACAGTATACACTGGGATGTGGCAAGTGTGGATAGTTTTTTTTTTTTTTTTTTTTTTACACGGCTGCCTGAATCGCCCATATTTACATGTATTTTAGATGCCCATATTTACATGTATTTTAGCTGCTTGAGACGACATGCTTCACTATTTCATGCACAGGTAGGGCCTACATATGCATTGATGTTATTTTAATTATAGAAGTATGGTTTTAAAACAAGGCCGAGTGCCGGTTGCGGCAGGGCCATCACAACTTGGCTCATGGTGGACGAATGGGCTCACATCAAAAAAGACTCAATGTTGGAGCCTGCATAGTGAGCATTAAATACAAAGAGCCAGCAGAAAGACAGACGGAGCTTCAAAAAACAAAACAAAACAAACAAACAAACAGACAAACATCAACCCCTACAAGGAACCGAGATGGAGAACCTGTTGATGTACAATCAGAGGAGAGTCAAAAAGCAGCTCGCCTGGAAACCTGGGCATAAAAAAGGAGAGAAAAGAGGGCATAATAAAAATAGAGCAAACAAAGCCAAAAGCAACAGCGAAAAATGAGCTGTACCTAATATTGTGAACCGTGACAACTGACACTAATCTAGACGTCTGCGCTCCACCATTATCTCACTATAGTATGGTATAACAGTGACTTTTTTTTTTTTTGGTTTTCATACATATTTTAGTCGGCCGCCTCGAAGGGTGGAAGCAATATTTGACTCGGTCTCCAAAAGCTCACCTCTGCCGATTTCCATATAATCACTCTGACCATCCATGCACGGTCTTACACAGGCTGCTTTCCTCTCGCTAACCTTTGAATTAAAGTGTTATCCGCTGGCTGGGGGTCTCACTCTCACTCTCTCTCTCACCACATATGGAGGGTTCGGAGGGGGAGAAAGATGAGGAGGAGGAGGAGGATGAAAGTGCTTCAAATAGCTCCTCAGACCGTGGAAGAACCAACCTCCGAGAGGCTTTGGGGGCTCCTGAAAACGTCCCCCGCACAGAGTGCAGCTCGGGTTCCGCCAGCTTGCAACTCCTTTCAACCCCAAAATGCATGCGGGGGCCAGTGTGACAAGCCACCAAAAATCAATATCACCCCGTGCATGTTGAGTCATAAAACGCCCAAAAAGTGTTCATGGGTCAGTGTGAAACTAAAAATGCCAATTCAAAAATAATTAATAAAAAATAAATAAATCATGCGGTTTTCCTAACACAAAGAAAATACCTTTTCTTTTTTTTCTGTTTTAATTTTCAAACAAGGTCAAATTTGGCCAGATTATTAAATATAAATGAGTGGCCATCTGCAAAGGAATCAGCGCAGGCCACGCCACGGCGGCTGCAAAATCTCACCGACATGACAACGTGCCCCGGACAAATTGTTTTGATCTCCCTTTGGAGAGTTTTCTTGATAACCTCCACAGAGTGCTTGTCGTTATTGATTTTGTGTTAGCCGGGCGGAGTACACTCCCGCTAATAATGTGATGTCAGCGAGTGCGTAAACAAAGAGATTCGGAGAGTAATTGCTCAGCCTGACAAAGAGTCATTTTCTGAAAAGTAACATGACAAAGCCTGACGGATGCAAATGTGAATCAATTGTGTTCCTGCTGACAGAGCGATAATCATTAGCTAATTTTAAGTGACTATTACCCCAAAAGGAACGTTTGGGCACCACTTTTCGATAAAGGTACGACGTCCCATGTGAAAGGTGAATACGTAGGTAACTAATTAGCGTGATAAAGCTCTGACAGGCATCATGTGTTTTTCCACAAGAAACTGTAAAACTCATACCACGTTGAATAGTGTATGAGCAGTGTAAGTGAAGGAGGTAAAGGATCTCTTGTATTTAATAGTGCAGTCCTAATTGATAGCAACGGCCAAAATTGACATTAGCATATGTTTATTCTCATCATTTCTAATTTTGTAGCCAAAAACATCTAAACTGATACTTTTATCAAGGAGGAGACCCACTGCAGTGAGAAATTGGCGGGTTGAGATGATGTGTGTTTATTGATGTAATTTCGAGATGTGTAAGTTGCGTTTCAATCAAAAAAAAATCCATGAATCTTGAAAATGTCACATTCAACACATCACATGCAACGGGTTATGACATGATTTTAAAGGGAAATGAATGTCTTCTGTATTTATTTCTCTGAGACCAGTTTTGTCCAAAGAAACTAAAGCCCGTATGTATCTCAGTGAGCGGCGAATGCTTGCTAGTGTCAGCGATCGTGGAACATGTTGATAAAATTGTCTCTGATTACTTGGTTTGCGGCCCTTCAGTCGCATAGGACATAATTTTAGTCAATAAGAGACTAAGTGCCATGAGAAAATGAAACTCTTGAGTCAAAGCAGAGACGGCGCTATGCTAACATTAGCTTGTGCGTTTATTTTCATCATTCCTATTTGCACATGCTAAGTCGTTACTTTTGGGTCACCTAAAAAAGTATTGCGGGAAACTGCAAAAGTGACGTTGGATTGAGCCCATCACTTTGGGTGACACTTCCTGTTTTGTTTACTTGCAGGCGTTAGACTTTGAAAGCAGGAGGACGTACACACTCAAAGTGGAAGCCGCTAATGTGCAGTCGGACCCCGGTGGGGGGATCGGGGGGCCCTTCAAGGACACGGCCACTGTCAAGATCGTCGTGGAGGACGCCGATGAGCCGCCCGTCTTCTCGAAACCCATCTACATGCTCGAGGTCAATGAGAATGCACCCGTCAACACCGTCATCGGCACGGTTGGCGCCAGGGACCCGGACTCCAGTGGCAGCCAAGTCAGGTAAGACGTCGTGCTCTCAGACAGCCTATGAAAGCTAAGCGGAGCAGTTCAGTTCAAGGTTTGCAGTTCAATGTGTCCATTGTTTGGGAAAATTGGACCTGCAGAGGCATGCCTCTAATGCATAGACCCACAAAAAAAAGTCTCACAAAGTCATGCCAGGGAAGCCACAGGAGGTCTGCCATTTTGGTTCGGAGTGGCCGTTTAAGGGGCATTTTGATCATTTTCTTCAACAACACACTTGAAAATCCAGCCTCTGAATGCAGTTTGAGTTGACAACATGGAATTTGGCAGTCATGTCTTTTTTAAGGAGCGCCCCCCCCCCTCCCGCCCCCCCATAAAAAGCCTGACAATACACAGCAAGTCTGTCATTTTGATTTGAAAGGCGCATTTTGAAAATGTAGCCTGCAAAGCTAGTCTCACAAAGCTTTACTTTCAGTCAGAGGTATGACGGATGAAAATTGGCTCCCTAGCACCCAACAGGGAAATCAACTTGCGACGGTTGATAACTCAAGAAACTCAAAATGTTGGGGCACTCATAAGTCAAGATATCACCGTATTTTAGTAAATTTCCAAATTTTTATTTGACTCTCTACTTTTCAATGGAGCGACCGAATGACAGCCCCAATTTCCCCATCCCTTATCTTTGCAGTAACTTCCCAGAAGAGACACATTTTTTTTTCCCAGACACAGCGTTGTACGAATAAAATAAAGTTTGACACAGAGACAATTAAATGTCTTCAATCGTGTGACCTTTCAGCAGGTACCACTGAAGAATCGCTCTCATTTCCACAAATATAGAGAACAGCGGCAAAAAAAAAAAAAAAGAAAGTCGATTATGAGTTGAAACTGCCGCAACTTCTCACCCATGACAACGACAAGGGCACCTTGATGATAGCTTTATACAGGCAATATCTCCCCCTCTTCCATTGGTCATGGCATTTCATTAATTCCCCTGGCGACTTTCTCCCTCGACGCGACACTCATCAGGTTGGGTGCACTGTAATTGCGTGGCGGGCGGGCGGGCTGCCTTTCATAGATTGGCTGGAAAGAAAACACCATTGGACTTTTTCCTGTTCTGCATGCACGGTGCCATCCTCATGTTTCGTGATGAGACAGCCAGGAGTGGAGGTTGCAGGATGTTACGCCCCTGGTAAAAAAAAATAAAATAAAATAAACAAATACATAAATAATCGGAAACGGGAAGAAATAAATGACATATAATGGTATGTTTTGGGTCCGTCTGCCTTATTTTGTTGATGGCAGTTGAATGAATTAGCAATTTTCCAATCCACGCACATATTCCCATCCAGGAAAAAAAAAAAAAAAATTCATCTT